AACTTTGATACTAAGTTGTAATGTCCCAAGAAAATACACAATAAAAGTACATCAATCACCACTCTTTATGATAACAGAAGTAATTCTCCAACACTTGAATACATGATCATAAGGAGTTTTTTTAACTAAATTTTCACATTTACACTAAACTAAAACATTTTTCTTACATTGAAGACCAAATAGACACGATTTAAATATTGATGATCAAAATAACACAAACAACATGATTTGGGGATTGTAAATGTAATTAACCCTGGAATTAATGTGAAATTCAAGGATGCAATTGATACAAATTAAATATTAATGACTAAAATAAAGTAAGTGCTATACTTGTGGAACCATTGTGTAAATTACTCTTTTTGTTTCAAAAAATTTTCTAGTGAAATACAGTCATGCTATATATCCAAGAAAATACTTAAAATTTAAAATAAAGAGGCTCGATGCATTCAAGTTTTAGGGATATTATTCAATAATCTTGGATCACTACGTGATCATATTTCAAGTCAATCATCAATTACTTAGCCTTAGGGATGGCAATTTAAAACCGGCCCCACGGGGACCCGCTCCCCCGACCCCGATTAGAGCGGGTTTTCCCCCAAAAAATACCACCGACGGGTCGGGGATGGTATTAAAAAATAAATCCCCAGTGATTTTCGGGCCGCGGATGGGGACACGTTTTTCAGCCCTGGCCCGTCCCCGGCCCCGGCCCTGGCCCCGGTTCCCCCCGAAGTAAAATTACTATTTTACCTCCTCTATCCTTCATTCACATATATACCTTCATTCACATATATACCCTCATATATATCTCTCTCTCATAAATTAGAATGACCCTCCTCTGTCTCTCTCTCTCTCTCTCTCTCTCCCCTCTACTCTCTCACACTCTTACACATCTCCTCCTCCTTAGCGGTGCCACCGCCACTGTCCAAGACGCCGGAGTCGCCGTATAGCTCGCACCGCCGCTTCACCCTCGCGTCTTTCTTCTACCTCTGTCTACGTCGTACCGTCGATCCACGTCCACCTCCTCCATCATCCATCACCGACACCACTGTCCACCTCGCATCACCGCTCCACCTGTTAATGTTTGATAGTCTGTTGTTGATGATCTATGTTGATGATGATCTCAGATCTGTTATGGATGATCTATGTTATTGATCTGTTGTTGTCCACCTCACTCGTATCGCTGTTCCATTGTCCAAGACCTGTTGATGATCTATGTTGTTGATGATCTATGTTGTCCACATCTGTTGATGATTTCAAATCTGCTGATGTTTGATGATTTCATTGATGATGATCTATGTTGATGTTGATGTTGTTTTTGTTTTTCTGTTTTTTTTTTTTGGCCAGGGAAATATCGGGGTCGAGGAAACCCGATCCCCGTTAGGAGACGGGGATGGGGACGGTAATAACTTTCCCGTCGAGGATCGGGGACGGGGAGTGTGATCCCCTCCCCCCCGGCCTCGTTGCCATTCTTACTTAGCCCTGTGTTATTCCCTCATCCCTAATATAAATCGTGGACCCTTACCCCTCTCTACCAATCAAAACCTTATAGAACACCAAGTGTCTATATTCCGGGAATACTGAATTATCACCCCAAGTTTTAACGCCACAACAATAAGTTTAAGGATAAATTACAAATATACTTTCTTAAATTTACTTAAAATATGAATTTTTTTTATGATTCTGAAAATTACAAATACTTTATTGTTAGAATTTTTATTTAACATAATTAACAAAAAAAAAATCATAACTACTTTTCTATATAACAAAAAAATTACATGAATTGTTAATTGAAATATATTTATAATTTCTAATATCATTAAAAATTATTAATTAACTTGATAATTTATTAATAAAATGCGTTATTTTTTATGCAATTAGAAACTTAAAAGGATGAGTAATTTTCACAATCACATGAGACAATTAGTATTTTAAGCAACTCTCGACAAATATATTTATAATTTATCTTAAATTTAAGGGTAAATTTAAATTACAAATACACCCCCCGAAGTTTGCTAAAAATACAGATTGCCCCCTGTGGTTTGAAAAATTATAAATATGCCCTTATTAGAATTTTTTATTTAACAGAATTAATTAAAAAAATAAAATTCATAACTGCTCTCCTATACAATAATAAAATTACCTAAATTGGATTATATGGCATGCATACACAATGCACTAACATACGCAACGTTATGAACGAGGCATATACAATGCAATAATCGAACATGCGATAACGTGGATTATATGGCATACACAATGCAAGATGGACTTAAACCAAGATGGATGAACCTCAGCCGCACCCAAATCAGTGGCCAATATGATGAAAATGGGGCAACAAGGTACATGCAAACATGTACAAATACGAAGGACCAAACCTAAGGAACAAAGTGCAACTCTACCAAAGCATGACAAGGATGAAATATGGCATACAATGACACCTGTTCCAGCTCTGAAATGACATACAAGATGGTCTCGAATCATGCAAACAACTCACCCGATGCGTGTTGGATGGCACAATTATCGAAATTAGTGAAGTGCATTACACTAGAGGCATGCAAAGCGATGCCCAAATGACCAAACCAACCTCAAACAGTCCCTATGCAGACCCAAAACAGTGGCAAGATGGACTAAAATGATGGCTTGCAATGCACAAAAATGAAACTCATGCAATAGCCCAAAAATGAGACATACAAGCACAACTCTCAAACGCATTTAAAGAGTGGAAAACATGGGAATATGGCACAAGTATAAGCTCTAAAATAACATGTTCAATGATGCCAAAACATGAAAACAACTCAAGTTAAACATGCAAGAGGCTTCAAAACTCGAAGCTAAACAAGGGTATTACACTACAAGCATGCATGGAAAGCATCATTCAATCATGGGACCTTAAAACAGAGCTAAGGAAGCTCAAATCATAAATAAAATCAGTTTAGAACATGGCCAAAATATGCTAGAATCAAGAGCCAAAACATCATGCAATGTGAGCTAGTGAACATGGATTACACTACAAGCATATAAAGCATTCAAGAGGCCACTAAACCAGCAAAAGTTAGAGACATTACATGTCAAATAAAGCCTAAAAACCCACTGAAACATGATCAATGCATGCAAGAATGACATGCTCTTTTGATAAGCTATAAGAGGAGTTATTCTACACATGCAAGAGACACACTCAAGGTGACAAAACCAACTCTGGACAGAGCCTAGGCAGGCCCTAAAAGTCACTGAAAAGGGCCTGAAACAAGGCTTGGAGGTGTGCAAATGAAGACTCCTTTGTAAGGCCAAAAATGCTAGTGAACAAGACAAGGAGGGAGAGGGTCACCCCTCTCTGATTTTGGCTCTCAAAAACACATGTTAACCACTGAAAACCCGTTGGATTTTAGTGGTTAAAAATCCAAGCAAAGGTCAACACAAAGGCCTTAGGGCATGGTTCAAAACAAGGTAAAATGAAGCATACAAAGGGATAGATGACCCCCAACAACAAAATGACCTTAAAAAAAACAGCAAAAGGACCTCAAAACAAGACTTTTTTTAGTTGACAACAAAGCTCAAATATGCATGAAAATAAGGCTAAGAGATGGATCAAAAAAAAACTTAAAAGAGGGAAAAAGTGTGTTACCCTTGAAGCTCAGCAAGACAGCAACTTCTAGACCCAAAACCCAACTCCTTAACATCTGAAAATGGCCTCCAAGAAGCTCCAAGCAATGGTGGGAGGGTTAGGCTATGAGGTGGTGTGCAAAGATGCAAGAACAATACACTTTTTGAGCCAAAATAGAGAGATATAGAGGGAGATGCATTGTATGCCTTCAACAAACCTCTGAACCTGTGCCAAAGAAGAGGAGGGCCTCTCTTATAGAGATACAAGCCTAAAGCTTCTTCAAGAAGCTAAAAACAAGGCTAAAGCTTCTCCAAGCGGGAACAGTGACCTGCGACCATGAAAAGTAGCCTACGGCCACTGAGAAATGGTCTACCTTGCAAAGGAAGAGGAGCCCTTCCTTTATAGAGCCAAGGGTCTAAAGCTTCTCCTAGAAGCTTAAAACCAAGAGTGAAGATCCTCCATACACGTGTATGGAGGATCTAGTCTGTGTCTTCCAGCTGGCACAGCTGGAATCAACTCAGTGAGACAAAACTGGGGGAGGTAGGCCGACCGGTTCAGGTGGTCGGCCGACCACAAAAGGTTCAACCCAATGAAAGGTGGTCGGCAGCCCCATTTGATGGTCTCCACATTGAATGCAAGCTAGTGGTATGGTAGGAGACCAGTAAATGTGGCTCAAAGACCAAGGAGACCAACTTCCTAACAAGAAAATCGGCTGGCAGGAGAAAAGTGGTCTCCAAGGAGAAAAGGTGGTCTCCCACCCTTGTACCACCTCCCAAACAATGAAAGCAAGGTCCATGCCAAAAATGAACCAAGACGGATACAAAACGGGGTTCGGCGGTCAAAACGCGCAGCCGAGTGCCTCGAAAACAGGCTGTTAAGCAACGAAAGTGGCGTGCGACCATAAAGGTGGTCTCTTGGGCCACAGTGTCCCTCTAGAGAGAGGAAGTAAGGTGTGTGCCAAAAACCGTGCCAAACGGAGAAAGTTAAGCGGTCCCGAACCGAGGCGCACGCCCGGCGGCTCCGAAAATCAGAAACTGGTCTCCACACGGTAACAATGGCCTGCGACCACGAAAAGTAGCCCACGGCCACTGAGAGATGGTCTACAAGACCTCTCCCTCCCTCCGGGAAGAGAAAGCAAGACCTGGTCCGCAAACCGAGGCAAAACATAAAAGGGTCCCGAGGTCCGGGGGTAAGGACCTCAGCCAAAACTCCGAAACCTCAGAACGAGCACAACATGCGCAATAAGGGTTGAACCTGAGCTCTGATACCATTCTGTAACGCCCCACTTTCCAGGCCGTTAATTAAGTACAATATTACCACACAAATAGGATAGATAACCAAAACATCTTAATATACATATATAACCAAAGTTAGTATCACGGATCATTCGTTTATTTTCCATTGCAGGATTACAAAACATTGAAAACAAAAACAACTAGTCTAAGTCTTCAAATGAACCACCGCTCCAACACTTCATCGTATTTGCCTTTGCAATAACTTTCATCATTATAACTGCTTCACCACCTGGCATGACACACCATGAGCTTGGAATGCCCAGTAAAAACACACATAGCCCCATATCTTCTATCAACCAATCAACCATACATAGGACAAATTGGGTAACATAACATGCAAAATTACAACAAGGATTCTATGAATTAGGAGTTTGCCTAGACATCTAGGATCCCCCAAAGAGATCCTTCTACCCAACCACAAGGCTGAACACCGGATTACTCAGACTCTCCCTTTTGCTACTTTGCAGACCTTACCACCTATGCCCACCTCCTGGTTATTTACCGGTTAGTGACATTGATGGACCTCAAAAGGGACGGCCAAACAAGTGGGCTCGCTTACACCCAAATCGTGCCTAGGGCTCGCTTACACCCTGCACATACCATATCAAATCGTGCCTAAGGCTCGCTTACACCCTGCACATATCATACCAAAGGGCTCGCTTACACCCTGAAACCACCGCATAGAGTCTGAATACATCCGTGTCAACCTAAGGGCTCGTCTAGACCGCTTGCGCAAGACTTAACTCATTTGGTTTTAATTCCATTCACATGTTCAATACATAAATCATTCTGAAGCACAAGGGTGAACGTCACCCACTACCAACCCCTTTCCATTTCCCATTTATTAGATCTTTTGCCAAGCAAGCTAGTCACATTCGGTAATATAAAAGAGCATGAGACAAGCATAAGAAATGAAATGTAGCCCATGATAATCATACATAGGTATGGTAAGGCAAGAAAATAACATTAGGCATGCTTTAAAATACTTAGAGACAAACAACACAACAAAACACCATTTCCAGCACTGTTTGGTTCTGCAGGGCTAACAAGAACGCTTTGGTAAAAATACTTATAAGTCAAATTAGGGGCTGAAATTGCACAGAAACAATATTCAATCTGCCTAGTTTCAGTTCCAATTTTCAGAAGTTGCACAGCACCTCCACAAATTCATCTACAAACTATATTCGAAAACCTGTCCAGATTTGTCACCCTTTGGGGAAACTAACTTTTCTCTCAATCTACCCGATGATTTTTACTCAAATAAAATCTGTTGGAAAGAGGACTCAGAGTTCTAAATTTTGATAGAAGAACCAACATGAGGTGATTTTTCTAGAATTTTATAAAATTGCTAAAATGGACTGTTTTTCAGAGGTTCAGGACCAGATTTTTCAACAATTTATCCAAGTCCTAAAAACAAACAATTTGGAGCTAATAAAATTTTCACAAACTCTAAACACACCAAATATCCTACCATAAATTCAGATTTGAGAATTAAATAGATTTGATATTTATTTTAAATTAGGGAAGTTGCAGCAGTTCCTAATTTCACAAATTTGTAAGACAATGGCCATTGATCATATCCACACTTCAACATATACCAAAAACCCTATTTACCATTAATTTGCAACACAATAGGCATATTAGACAATAGAAGGAGATGGTGAAAGAATTGGAGAAGACAAAGGAGGGGTATGTTCTTACCTTTTTGAGAGTCACTCTTATTATTATTATTATTATTTTTTTCTTCTTCTTCTCTACTTCCTTTGATCACACTTTCACCCTTCACCCTCTCCCTAGGCTGTTGAAAATGTGTGGTGAAAGTTGAGACAAAGTTCTCAATTTATAAGCCATGAAATAGGGCTAGCTTAATGACTAAGAAAAAGCATAAAAATCTAGATATTTTTCCATTGCTTAAATAAGTATTAAAATAAATAATAAAACTATTTATTTAAAGATATGTGTAGATATTTATTTAAAGATATTTATTTGCTCAATTAAATAATAAAGGTTCAAAGAAAATAATAAAAATTCAAAGAACTAATAAATATTCAATTAGGCTAAAAATAAATTTGATGAATTAATTTAGAAACTAGGAGGTACATAAATAAAAGCCAAGTGTTAGGGTATTTCCAAATATAAAAATGGCATTCTATGATTTAATTATAATACAAAATAAAATACAGAAAAATAATTCTTTCTTGGACCATTTTGTAAAATTTTATAAAATTTGGGATTAAAATGTAATTAACCTAAGGCTTAGGGTATCAAGTCTAATTACCAAAAATTTGGGTCTCTACACGATCATCCGACTGGTCGCCTAACTAGTCATCCGATAATAAGGGTGACAGTTGCAGTAGACAAGTGTTGCACCGATTGTCTGGACAGTCGAACGGCATGCACAAATTCAGGTGATTCATACAAACTCAAATTTGGTAAATGAATCATTTTTCTAAATTAATAAATCAATTAATAATTTTAAATAATACCATAACTATATTTTAATTAATAACTTAGCAATTTGCACCATCAAACCACAAACCACAAATTTTTACAATATCAGCTATAAAATTTTAGGCATTTTATGTTAGAAACTGGTTTTGAAATTCTGGAAAACAAAATTTTTTCCTAACTTTGGTCTAATATTTAGGTGGGACCCGTGTGTTAATTTTCACGGGTCAAAGTGGTAACGCGTTCTATGCCACGTTGTGATTCACGTGGTATAATTGGTTGCTCAAAACCATTATTGGGTGAATGGAAAATTGAAGCCAAAGTGTGCTTCATGGAAATGGAGTTTTTGGTGGAAATTTCTTTATGTTTGAAAAAGGCTTGTCCCACATTGATTTGGTGGGAAGTTTTGAATAGGTTTATTAAGGCATGGGATTGGAACTTGGGGTGTGCCTTAAGGGGTACCCAAGTTTTATGGAGAGGGAGGTTATGGGCAAAATGGGCTAGACCCATTGGACCTAAAAATCACCGCACGCGCCACCACCGCTATCCTCACTCTTTTTTATATTTTTTAAATTTTTTAAACATTTTGTCAATTACCAAACGCGTTTGTAGTTTATGTTTTTCTAAAAATAAACAAAAATCAGTTTATAAAATTTTTGTAAATATAAACTGAAAACGTAAACATTACCAAACACACCCTAATTGAAATATATTTCTAATTTCTAATATCATTAAAAATTATTAATTAACTTGATAATTTATTAATAAAATGAGTTATTTTTTATGTGATTAGAAACTTAAAATGGTGAGATGTAATTTTCAGAATCATATGAGACAATTTGTATTTTAAACAACTCTCAACAAATATATTTATAATTTATCTTAAATTTAAGTTACAAATACACCCCTTAAGGTTTGTTTAAAATACAGATCGTCCCTTGTGATTTAAAAAATTACAAATATGCCCTTATTAGAATTTTTTATTTAACAGAATTAACTTAAAAAAATAAAATTCATAATTGCACTCTTATAGAATAATAAAATTACCTAAATTATTAATTGAAACATATTTTTAATATCATTAAAAACTATTAATTGACTTGATGATTTATTAATAAAAGAGGCGATTTGTTATGAAATTAGAAATCTCAGGAAATGGAATGTAATTTTTAAAACCATAAAGAACGATTTGTATTTTAAATAAATTTTAACAGGTGTATTTGAAATTTATCCTAAATTTAAATATATACCATTCATTTAAAACTTTCTAGAACCTAAGCATTTTCTAGCGACATATTGAGCAAAGAATGGAAGACAAGGCTACCCAAAAAGTAAAGAAGGAATCTTCCAAAGAGATTCCAGGAAGGAGAAAGTACAAGTTTCTTATAGTGAGGATGAAAATTGCATATTTACCAATAGAATTGAAGCACTGGCTGGAGAGGATCATGGATTGGTCCACATGAATCATTCCAATGGCTAAAATAAAACAAAGAATTCTAGTGGAAAATATAAAAAGTTTTAAAAAAGAAAGAAAGAATATTTCAACGTTTGGATATCAAAAAAAAGACATTCCAAAAAAGAAAAAGATAGGATTCTAAGGTGTCATTTGGGAAGAGCTCATTTAAGCTCTTTTGGCTCTTTGAGCCACAAAAGACAGAATAGGCTATTTGAGTCACAACAGACAAAACATCACATCCAACCCATAATTATTACACTCTTCTCTCACAAAAAAAGTTAAAAAGTCAAAAAACCAAAAAGCCCTTCCCAAACTAAGCTTTTGAGCCCAGACTCAAACAGCCAAAAAAGTTAAAAAGCCAAAAAGCTAACCCACTTCTCAAACGGAGGCTAAAAGTGTTAGGTTCACAAATGATAGAAATGTGAACTAAGTTGCAAATGCCCTTTATGAAAATAATATAAGGTGATGCCATGAGATATTAACTTTATTTATTTGTTTATTTATGAGATGTGAACTAAGTTGCAAATACGCTTTATGAAAAGAATATAGGGTGATGCCATAGGAATGGAAACTATGACAAATTGATGTTTTGATGCAGTATATGGTTGTATTTGATTGACATTAATAAATAAGAGTTACAAAATAAATATTGGATAAGAATCATGTGGTTTGATAAATTTTGCCAATGTCTATAGATCTTTACTCATGTCTACTATATTAAATCATGTATTTACAAATTATTTATTATTATTAAAATAATAATAGATTTTTAAACATATGAATATACATTATGTGGCATGAGGCGTGGTAATATCGCTTTCTCCAAAGAGATTTAAGTTTTTTGATTGATAAAATCTTCACACATAGTGTAGTAAAGGCGGAACTAGGATTGGAGATTTTTTTTTTTTGGGGAGGGGGTGGAGGGGGAAAGAATGGTAATTATTCAGTAATTCTAAACTATAAGTACATGATACTCTATAATATTGTGATTAGTGAAAATATGGGTAGGTGAGATATTATACTAGGTGATTAAGAAACATAAAAGGATATAATAAATGATAATTGGTTAGAGAGTATGGACACGTCATATTTCAAGAATGTTTTATAACTTTTCGAAAGAAAGGCGTTGGAAAAGTCTAAGCAGACGGGTCAAATAGGTTTAAACAAATCTTAATGCTCTAGTCAAGACAAGTATATTTAAATATAATAAGTGAAATATAAGAAGTTTAGAGGGCCAAGTTTAATCAAATAATATAAACTATCTTATATACTATCTATCTGTCTATTTTCCATACTATAATATAAAGGTAAGGTTTAAGTTGGTGTCTAAGAATATCCTTCATCATTTTTTAAATATCGGTCTATAATCCTATAATCATTTGAAAATTAACTCATGAAATACTAATCGTTAATAATTGCTGCTTGGATTTAAAATATTATTTATTGACAAAATACAAAAATGAAATTTATTTTATTTATTTATGTAATATATATACAAATATTTATATAATCCACATATTTCCATAGATTAAAAATGCTAGTAGTACAAATATATATATATATATATATATATCAAGGCTGGTAGAGTTTTAGGAAATTGACACGTTTCCCAACATACAACTATTTGAAAATTAGTGATTTAGAAAGTTGGTTAAAATTTGATTTTTTAATTTATTTTTTTGTTTTGTTTTTTTGTCCTTTTGTCCTTTTGTTTGTAAAAAATATGACAGCTAATGTGAAAGCCTTGTTTGTCATCTACTATATAATCCATCTTTTTATCTTTTTATCTTTTTTCCATCACATCACCTCTCTACTTTTCTGCACATCTTTTCGTAAAAAGACAAAAAGTACACTTTTTTAATACACCCCAAACGAATAAAATGAGTTAAATTTTAGTTAGCTTCTCAAATTGCTCCTAACTCTGCACAAGTGTCCTTTTGTTCGTAAAAAATATGACAGGTAATGTGATTTAAAATGAGTTAAATTTTAGTTAGCTTCCCAAATTGCTCCTAACTCTGCACAAGTGAATCGAAAGCTCCAACATATTTTTTCATTTCAGTGGAGCAGTGATAAAAAAAATTGTATTTTCATGATGGTATAATTCTCCTGTATGCATGGTACAAATTTATTTATGTTCTTAGCGCAACTCTTTATGTGTCAGAATTGAACACAAAAAAAAAAAAAAAAAAAAATTCATTTATAATATAATTAATTTGTGACTGTCCTATCTATTTTTAATTTCTCTATTTTCTTTTATTATTTTATTTTGTTACACCAATTTCTACTAAAAAATCAAGAGGAAAAGGAGAAATAGACATGCATGCAGTGTGGTGATGGGGAAGAAAATGCAAGTTGCAACAGGAGGTCGGCTACGCGTCCTACAAAAAAAACAGGAGGTTGGATAAGGATTCTACAGCTTATTCCATCCAACAACAATGATTCATCCCACTAAAAATATCACCACTAATAGCACTAATATATTAAAAAAGTAAAAAAAAAAAAATACAACTCCAAGATCAAAACATCACATCATTAATGACGGGACCCACTGCCACCTAATTAGTGGGAGCACTAATTAGTACTCCCAAACATTTTTCTTCCATCCAATGTCGTAGAAAAAGTGAAATAAAAGGGCCCTGTTTGGAACGATTTCCAAACGAGTTTTTTTATTCTCACATTTGAATATAATGTTTGGATAGGTATGAGAAATTAATTTTTCGCAACTCTGTAGAAAATTCCGTTTAAGAGCACGATTTTCAAAAAAAAAAAAATTTTGAAATTTGGCCTAACCGGTCGTCCCACCGGTCGTCCGGCCGGTTGATCAGAACAATACAATTTTTTTTTTTTTTACAATTGATATGTTAATTTTTATATAT